TTAAATTGCCAGTATTTTAATTCAGTAATTATAATTATTGCTTCCCTTTTAAAAAAAATAAAAGAAGGAAACACACATATAAACGTTTCAATGACAATCATTATGTTGGGGACATTAGATCCCCAGAACGCACTTGAAAAAGGACCTGATTTTGTAATTTTATTTCGAAAATTTGAATTTCTTTTTGTTCTCGCGCCAAAGGCGCTCTTGTCACCTCCATGTCGTATTTCCCACTGGGAACTATCTAAAATGCTATTGGTCCGTCGCGTCTTTTAGTATGCTATTTGATAACTTTCCCCAACGACGGTTTTGCACTGTATATATACGTTTTGAATTGTGTTTGTTGTTATCGCCCGTTTTTGGCTGTTTGCAGAATATACTTCCCATTCTAAGCTTAGACTTCTCCCTCTAGTTAGAGGGGCTGGAACGCATCAATAGCTAGCTTACTGGTCTTTGGTCACCGAGTCTCGTTTTTCGTTCGCAGATTAAGTGAACTCGTGATAGCTTCAAACCTAGCACATTATCAGCTTCATCTTTTTACATAATCACAACAGTGATGAATAAAAATTATAAAAATTAAAAAGAAAACACAAGTTGTAAATTCATTTATTTCCATCTTTAACAAAACTGGATTGATTTGAATAACTAAATGTAAATTAATGATAAAAGATTTCTTAGTTAATAAATACCTCCTTAATCCAGTAAACTAATAATGAAAATTGAATTATGCTAATAAATATTTAAAAAAAAAGACATTAGAGTAAAAAATAATCCAAATTAGATTTTTTTTTTTACTGTAAATGATAAATTTAATTGGCTGATTTAAATTGGAATTGATGTGAGTTAAAATAATTTTTGTTAAAATAAGTTTGATTTGTAAACATGTAAATTTTGGAATACACTTGGTGATAAGGTGTATGTTATTAATAAATATAGAAGGGATTTTGTGAAGATTGTAGTAATTTTAAACAGTTGAGAAGATGAGTCAATTGAAGCTAGATCATCATGAAAAATCTGGAAGCACTGGACGACCGTTTCGTCCTGGCATGTGATTACTCAGCAGTGCGCATCCACAATCCCGCATCGCGGGATTCGAACCCAGGACCTATCAGTCTTGCGCCAGGCGGTTGAACTACACTGGTCACTGCTTCTCATTAGAACTCCGAGATATATATCTTGAAGCCAGTCACTAGCTTCAATTGACTCATGATCTCAATAATTATAGACTTGGGATACATACATACATTTACTATTCTGTGCTGGGATATTAATAAAGCTTTTATTTTGAAAAAAATATTATATTTCATTTCAAACAACAAAATACTTCTAGATTATTATGAATGTAACTAAATTTATATTTCGTTTTATTGTGATGATAAATGAATTATTTAGAGACATTTTCTATTAATATTAATTTGTTTTTTTAAAATCAGAATGAGGGTTTGTGGAGATTGTAATAATCATCATGTGTGATTGGCTTCAAGGTGGATTTCTTGAAGTTTTAATGGGAAGCCGTGACTAGTGAAGTTAAACGGTATCCGTTGTGAGACAGTTACTCACTGAATACAATGGTGGACGGTGGCGCAATATCGTGGATTGGTTGACGTTAGACATTAACACTGCTAGGTCTAGAGGTTAAGCGTTTACGCGTGGAATCGTGGATTCTCACTTCTGACGAGTCTCATATTCAGATGAAATGGCCTTCCAGTGCTCCCAAATTTTCCATGGCGGTCTAGCTTAAATTGTCTCATGAAATAAACTATTAAATATCAATCTGATCCAAACGATCGTAGATCTTTTGAAGAACTTATGTATAAAGGATTCTTTACTATATTTTGGATAGAAGTTATGACATTTGAAAGAATAAAATGAAAAATATTTAATTTCTCCGCATAAACTGAGAAAAATTTGAGAAGAATTGCATCAATAGTTATTTTTATTCATATTCTTAACATTATCGACTGAAATCACTATCAAAATCCATATGTACTATGTTTAGGTATGTACGTTTACTGAATATGGGCAGTTAAGTGCGCCTTCCTTCATTTGCAAGTCTCTAAGAAAACTGATTTACTATTTCATTAATATTTACAACTATTTAACTTCAAAATCATTCTACTATTTAGCATATCTTAATACATATGCTAACTAACAATACATTTAACATGATTACTGAAAATTATTTCCTTTTGGTTACTACGAATTGACACCTTACGTTTCTTAATTATTTCTCTAATAATCAACTATTTTGTATCTATGTTGACTTTATGAATTTTCTTTTATTCCGTATTGTTGTCTACGTTGTATTTTCCTTGATTTGTAGTATTGTTGTAATAACAGTTGATATCAATAGTCAATATCGTACAGAATTAAAAAGATGCATTAAACTGCACAAGCATGCACGGAAGACAGCTCACAAACTCGTTCAAAGTAAAGACCATTGTCAGGCAAGGTTGCTTACTCTCACCATTTCTATTCCTCCTGGTGATCGACTGGATCATGAAGACATAAACATCTGGGGGAGGCATGGGGTACAGTGGACAGCTAAGATGCAGCTGGACGATCTAGACTTCGCAGATGATCTAGCTCTTCTATCGCACACGCAACAACGAATGCAGGAGACGACCAGTGTAGCAGAAGCCTCAGCAGCAGTAGGTCTCAACATACACAACATGCACCAATCGAATCACATTTGACAGAGAAACTTTCGAAAATGTAGGGACCTTTACATATCTAGGCAGTAACATTGATGAGCACGGTGGATCTGATGCAGATGTGAAGGTGCGGATCGGCAAAGTAAGAGCAGTATATTTTCAGCTGAAGAACATCTAGAACCCAAAACAATTGTCAACCAGCACCAAGGTCAGAGTTTTCAATACAAACGTCAAGACAGTTCTACTGTATGGAAGAGAAACTTGGAGAATTACAAAAACCATCATCCAGAAGATACAAGTGTTTATCAAAAGTTGTCTACGCAAAATACTTCGGATTCGCTGGCCAAACACTATCAGCAACAACCTACTGTGGGAGAGAACAAACCAGATCCCAGGAAGATAGTGGAGGAAGTGGATAGGTCACATATTGAGGAAAGCACCCAACTGTGTACCAAGGCGAGTCCACACTTGGAATCCTCAGGGCCGAAGGAGAAGAGGAAGACCAAAGAACACATTACACCGATAAATAGAGACAGACAAGAGAAAAATAAGCAACAATTGGAAAGAATTGGAAATGAAGGTCCATGACAGAGTGGGTTGGAGAATGCTGGTCGGCGGCCTATGCTCTAATGGGAGTAACAAGCGTAAGTAAGTAAAGTAAGTAACAGTTGAAATCCATATTTCAACATTTGGGAGTTGCAATGATTGTATAGCTTTTAGATTTTTCATTATGTATTAGTGTTAACAGTTGCTTTCCTTTTCAACTCCTATCGACACCAAACTGCAATAGTTGAAAACTAGTTTGATGTTCAAAAAATAAACATAATAAAGTACACAAAAAGAAATTGCTCTGTGAGATGCGATGTTAACGTTATATCAAATTATTTGTTTACATCAAAGACTGGCTATGTGGATTGTTGCTGCGAATATTAAAAATCACTTTTAAAGCACATCTGCTCTTTTGTGATGTAGTGTTTGCTAAACGGGATAGTTTAATTATGATTAAATCATTTAGTTAAGAGGGAACGATATTAACTGAAGCATCCTTTTCAGCTGGAAACTTTATGTAACACTTCACAAATTTCTTAAAACATTCAAAAAATTAGTTAGAAGGTACTAGTATTAAATATTATGAAAGAAAACATGCTGATCAACGAAGCACTTAAAATTACCAAAACAATCTAAACAAAATATGTGAGTAACCTACATATATTTCAACCATTCGGAAAACTTTACACATAATACAGTTATAACACAATATAAAAGTAATTTTAATGAACAAAAAGCTTTTGAAACATCCTCAAATGAAATATGATTTGATAAAGCAAAACATTTATTGACAGATACAAGTTCGATTTATTGTTAAATTAAAATCTCTTCTTCAAAATCTTTATTACGTCACTCATCATATTTGATCTTATTTTCAAGGAAATAAAATGAATTTATATTCTCTGCAGTCATTAGAAATCTTCAAAAGAAAAACACGAATTAAATTTACTAATTTCAATAGTTGAGATCCTGAGTCATTTGAAGCTAGACCACCATGGAAAACCCAGAAACACTGGACGGCCGTTTCGTCCTACCATGGCACTCTTCAGCAGTGCACATTCATGATCCCGCCACGCGAGATTCGAACTCAGGTCCTATCAGTCGCGTAGTCTAGCTTCAATTGACTCATGATCTCAACCACTGAAATTACTATAATATCCACAAAACTCCTTCTGATATTAAATTCATTACACAAGAAAGTCCGTTCATCATTAGTTTAATTGTTTTTGTTTTTTTTTAACATTTTTTTTCTCTCATAAAATACCGAGAAGAGGTTATAACTGGAATAATTTAGATAGAGATATTTTATTATGGTGTTGTTTAAACTATTCAAGAGGTTCTTCTTGATTTTTATTTAATATTTACTAATTGATTTACTAAAAATGTATATCATAAATATAGTCCGAAGGTTGAGTCGATTTACACTACACCACCTTGGAAAACCTGGAAGCATTGGATGGCAATTTCGTTCTACTGTGAGACTCCTTAGCAGTGTGGATCCACGATTCCAATATCCAGGATTCGAACCACGAACCTATCGGATCTATCATAAATAGATTATTAAAACCGATCAATTTTTTTAATAAACACATTTAACAGTGCAAGTAACATTTTCTAATGATTAAATCTAACTAAAATTTAAATGACAATAATATATAGTTAGTAAATATTAAAGTATACGATCTATTCTCAATCGAATAAATCTATCCTTTATTAAAATTCATTTTATTGGTAGATTAAATGATTATTTTTTAACCAATGAAATTGTGCTACTTTTATAATTCAGATTATAGAATTCCTAATATACATTTTTTCTTTAGTCAATGAAATTAAATCTAATGTTATTAATTCAATGAATAAATTACAATTATCTTTATTTATTTATTCATTAATTACATAACAATAATACCGTTATGTTGAATGATCAACTAAATATATTTTTAAATGTTACTGAGTCTAAGGATTTCAATTTAAGTCATAAAGACTATAATAATACAGAGGATTTGAAAAATAAAAAGGATGTTATTATAGATGAACATGTGAGTTATTTCATAATTAAAATTTGTTAGAAATATAATAATTTTCATAATTTCTAATCTCATTTGACCATGTCAACATGGTACTTCTTGAAAGTTCATTTCTCTAATTTTTTTTCCGGCTATTTTTATTAGTTAATTTGATTGATAAATATATCTGAAGAAGTAGATCATACTATAGACAACAATCAATACTGTCTTAGATGTAAATGACCTACCTCCCAAATGTTCTTTTTAAAATCGACCAATTCGTTTTGTTGCAAAAAACACAAAAGCCTAGTTCTCAAATAAAAGATGAGTAGTTAAATTAAACATTTAACCATTCTGTTTAAAGGTAAAGTTGTCTGCTTTTGAAAAGAATTGTTCAGACTTCTTTACAAGAATAATAAATAAAATGGATGAATTAAAGATATTAATCACAATGAGATTGTAAATATGAAATAAACTGGAACCTCACAAAGGGGCACGAAGATCAGGTGAATTTCGACTACTAATTTAATGAGTACAAAAACTGAAAAAATGTTAATTAAGGATCTATGTTATCAGTACAGTACGTTAATATCTAAAAAAAGACAGTACTAGGTGTAAACATTTTAGTGACTAAAAATGAAATATTTGTTAAGTTCTCCTCGGTATGTGATCGTAGAAAATTGTTCAAATTGGATATTAATTATAAAAATACTCCATGGTAAAGTCAGGACAATAATTAAAATATCGTTATTGTTAATATCCATATTACCAGCGGAACAAATGGAAGTTGCGGCCAAAACGTTTTATTTATAAACTATTTCTCAAGGGCAAAACCAATGATAAACGTGATAAATTTTTGTCTATACATACAGAAGTTAGGCTGATTAACTTTCTTTGCATAAAATCGAAGCTTTACAAAGTATTTTGGTTCCTTCAAAGTAGATTTTATTTCTCGATTGTGCTGATTTAGGTCTAAGGGCTTTTTCGATAAATTTTATGACGTAATCATCATACTACAAGGTCAACATTTGTTTTATGATCAGCTAATTAATGTTGTATAAAACAATTTGCTTTAATATAAAACCCAAATATAGCATATTCACAACTTTGATCACAAGAATTTTTAACACAACTACATTTTACTTTATTGATAAGGCCTTTCTTCTAATTAGTAGACATTGAATGTTATTGAAGCGTCATTATTGATTATATACAAGTGGTAAATAATGATTAGTTTTGAATTTACATGATAGTCTCAAATTATATTAAGTTTACCTCACTATACTCAAAACTTTTATAAAGATCAAAATATAATATAATTTGATTCAAAATATTGATTCGTAACAATAGACGATGTGATTTTTATTCTCAATTCCCTAACATTGTCAAGCAGAGACAAATAGATCCACAATATCAAGTTGTTCAACAAGTGACCGGTTTTTTTTACTCAGGCTTTGAATATATATATTTCACATGCCTTTGGAACGATTATTTCAAACGATTTTAAGAATATCTATGAGACAACTGTTTTTGATGAATGAATAACTTAAATTGTTTATTAACTTAAAACAAGATGTAAACTTTCGTTTTTTCTCTTTGTAAATATAAATAATCCCCTATGAATGACTAAAATGATTTTTAATTTTAATTTTACATTACTTTGACAACCAACACAATCCCTCAATTGTAAACTATAGATGTCAAAAAAGAAATTCCATTTAAACTCTTTTATTAATAATTTTGTTATCAAATGTTCTTCTTGTGAGAAATTTTATTATAGAGTTCATATTGGGAATAGGCCACCAATTAATTCAAATTCCCAAAACAAAATCTAAGACTTAAACACTGTTGAACTGGATGTGTAGTTTTTTAAAGAGTGTTTCCACTGGTATATCTTAGAACTCAATATACGTTTATGTCAAATTTCGCTTGAATATTGTTCATAAATAAATTACCATGATTATTCCAATCATTCATCCAGTTCAATGTGAAAAACGTTTTACAGTTAAGATTATTTATTATTTTAAGTGTCAGCTAGAATACCTTTATATATTTAAATTATAACTGACTCTCTTCCTTCAAATGTTTGGCCACAAAGATAAGTTGAATAAAAAAGTGAATTACACTCATAACGTGGCTAATCAGATTGTTACCCTATTGCCTATCAGTTAAATCTTTTTTTAAAAATATAATTGTCACCTCAATAAAGTAATGAGAAGGTGAATGTTACCTTTTAGTTTTATTTCATTACCATAGTCACCTAGTAATGCACATGTATCAATTAGAAAGGAACATTTTAACTTATTTACATTGATTTATAGAATAAAAACTATATGGGTATTTTAATAAAGTTTTATTCAGATAAGATAAATTTGTTTAAAAGTTTACTATACAGGACATGTATTAAAATTAGGTCACTATAATGCTGATTTTCAACAACAACAAAAAAAATAACAGAATATACTATCAATTCCTAATTTGCATTTATATTACAAAGATGGATTTTATTGATACATTTTATTAAAAGCTACGAAACATTTAAATACTGAGGTTATCAAGAATATCTTGATCATCAAATACATTAAAGAACGGTTACAAATAATGAAATAGAGTTTTCAGAATTTAACATTACTTGGAATTTCTCCTGATATATGTTTTTTTACTCTATATTCGGCAAAATTTAACACAGCTAAAATGTTAGTTATATGAACTTATGAATTAAAAAGTATAATTTCAATGGTTAAGATCATGAGTCAGTTGAAGCTAGACCACCACGGAAAACCCGGAAGCACTGGACAGCCGTTTCATCCTATTGTGGGACTCCTCAGCAGGACTGAAGGGCCATCCAGTGCTTCCAGGTTTTCCATGGTGATATAGTTTCAATTGACTCATGATCTTAACCATTGAAATTACTATAATATCCACAAAATCCATCTGATATTAATCAACATATGCTCACTAGTGACTGGCTTCACGAGGTATATCCTGGAGTTATAGTGACAAGTAGTGACCAATGGAGTTCAACCAGGTCTGTTGTGAGATAGTAACTCACTGAAGACAATGGTGGATGTGTCGCTCATTTTCGTGGATTAGTTGGAGTTAGACAATAACACCGTTGGATGCCGACTGGCTCAGTGGTCTAGTGGTTAAGTGCTCGCGCGCGAAATTAGTAGGTCCTGTGTGCGAATCTCGCAGGAGGCGAGGTCGTGGATACGCACTGCTGAGGAGTCACACAATAGGAAGAAACGGCCGTCCAGTGCTTCCAGGTTTTCCATGGTGGTCTAGCTTCAATAGACTCATGATCTTAACTATTGAAACTACTACAATCTCCACAAAACCCATCTGATATTAAAAAGTATAATATTGACAAATTCATTATGAAATTTAACAATTTGTTAATCACACTTGTAGAGCTTTAGATTTTCTTTTTTAGAATAGGATGAATATCATTTTTAGAAAATATTACCGACAGGTGACGCTAATATTATATCATCATCTATATAAATACTTTTCTGATTGATCAGCATAAAAAGGTTTAGATCAGTATAAAAACGTTTCGTTCTTAAATAATACTAGGAAACATACTGGATTTTGTTTTTAGATCTTCAGTCTAAAGAATAATGTTACATAGGAAAATACACAGTCATTTTATGTCTGGAAGATGTTCCTAATTTCGTTAATTACTAGTATTGATTACATTTGAATATTATTTTCATAGAAACTAGACAAAAATCTCGTAATTATATCTTTAATACTAGAAGAGGAATAGAAATCTATCTATAATAAGATTTATGTAAAGCAAATATAATTTTATCGGACTTATTGGACTATAATAATGTTCTTAAATTATTGTGATTAATCTATCATGGATTTTTCTTTTGTGTATTCTTTTTTAAAATTTTGAAGTAGCTTGTCCTTTTAAACGATAATTTATATGATTCTTATTTAGCAAAACGTAACAAATAAGAACTGATCTTATAACATATTCAGATCGTTATTTTTTATGAATTTTCATTTTCATTTCAGAGAATAGTGACATGTTAGTGAAATTGGTTTTTAAAAGTGTTCATTCAGAACATAATTTTGCTAGTAGAGGTATTTCATGTCTTTAACTTACATATCATATATATTCTATAGATTACCTATCATAGTATATTTGAATTTGAAATTTTGTGTAGACGTGTTGTTTCGTATGAAATGCCAATAAGATAGATCTATAGTTTTATTAATATATTTATTCGTTGTATTTCCTAATTGTATATTTAGATCAGACATATGACAACATAATATGTATCTTGAAATGTGACTTTATTCATTATGCCTGAATGATTTTAACAGAATAAAATAGTATGTTATTCACCTGAGTTGATGTATACATATGTATTCCTTTAAAGGATCGATATACAGCTCTTTTAAGTTCATTTATCATATATCAGTTGTATAACATTTTATTGGGACTTCAGATAATAAATGGAATAATATTACATTTCTTAATTGTATATCACACTTCAAATCTGGAAATTATTTTTAGTGTTTATGACTAATCATAAGATCTTAAGGAAAATGTTCTATAAGTGAATAACAAATTTTGTGCTTAACAATAAGCTTGAAATTCATAACTAAAACGTCGTAGATAGCAGTAAACGAAATTTTCATTTTCTTCTTGGTTTAGAGCAATCCTCAAACCTACTCAGAGATGATGTAATTGATTGTCAGATAATAAGTATTCAGTTCGGGAGACTATGAACTATTCTAAAAGATTTTTTATAGTGTCTCAAAGTATTTGCTTTCAAGTCTTTTTTCTATAATGTTGTAATAGGAATTTGTCAAAGTTCAGTACGCCTCAGCAGTTTCAACTTATGTTTTCATACTAATAACTAGAATTAGATATGTAATTTGTTAGACGTTCATCTAAGCATACTGTTGAAGATTCATGTAACAATACGTTACATGAACCAACTGCATATTTTATTTTGTTCCAGTCACTCGTGTATCGTTTAGTGTATATCAAATGACTAATCAAACGTATTTGAAATAAAACTACTTTAGTACTGGTGAATGTTGTGAAATAAAAATTTGAAACGAAGTTTGGAAAAAGTTAATTTAGACTAAGTAATTGTGAGTAAACTTTCAAGTAAATAATAAATAAATAAATAAATAAATGCCATGTCAAATAATTACATTCTATTCCATAGTTATATCCTTATAAGGTATCACTTTGCATACTATTAATTCAATACAGAAAGTTTAAATAGTCTTTATTATTCTATTAGAATATAAAACCGACTTACTTATCAAATACTGGTTTTAAACGGAACTTGCGATTTAAGGCTATATCGAGGTAATCTGTACAAGTTGCACATATTCCAACAAGAGGTTGACCAATTGCAGTCCTAAATAACAATGTTAAGATACAAGTAAAACAACACCAAGTGATTGAAGTAGATCATATTTTAAATATATTAAAGTTAATTATTTTTGATAATAAATATTATTATTGGGCTACATACGTACATCTCATGTATCCGAGCCCTACAAATCTATTTGTACTTTAGCATTCATTTGATTGGATTTTTATAGCCTAGTCTACTAGTTACATATAATCACATTCTTCCATTTAGTTTCAATTCAGCCATTATTTTGCTTTTATTATCTAGAATTTGGATTAAATTTATAAAATTTAAAAATGAGTGGCCGCTATGTAAAGGAAAACGTCTTGTAGAGATGTTATCAGTTGTCTGTAGTTTTGTGTAACAACAAAGTTATCAGTTCTTTATCTACAATTTTGAATGTTTATTATGTAAGATTATTGTTCATTTCAACAAAGCACACCACAAATCAGATGTTCTTCAGTAGTAAATTATAATAAATCATTGATTTACTATATATTCAAACATGTAAATTTTTAGGTTATTATTTTTCGTAGAAAGTATAATATCTATTCAAACGTTCTTAACAACGACAAATATCTTCAGTTCATAACCTCGACAAAGAAATCTAGATAATGGATCTGTGCATATGAATAAATTATTTTAAAATTAAGACAGTGAAATCAAAGTGTACAAAGCAATGTAAACGTACAAGGTAATTTATTAACAATAAGATACAACTTTTTCTTGTCATCATAGTTTTACCATATGGTATATGTTATCAGATATTATCATACAATATGTTCCAACTCTGTATCAACCTGATTATGCTTGTAAATTGATTTTCGTTCTGTAGTTATTTCTAAAACCAGTATTATCATTATTATTTACTAGTGAGATAAATATCATTCATTTTCATCTAATTATATTGAAATATTATTAAATAAAACAATATAACTCACTTCATAATTTAGATTTATTGCATTCATTTTTCAATCTAACTTCAAGTACGTTGTTCGATTTTATGATTATAATGAAATTGAAAATCTTGATATAAAAAAGTTACATGCAGAACATATACTCTTCAATAAATTATAATCGTAAAATATTAGGTTGAAAATCTCACCTTCAATCTATTTAAATGTTTTAAAAGTGGTGTATTAAGACAATGGCCATTTGTAACCAAAAAATTTAGAACGAACAAACATTCTTAAGAATTCATTAAAAAGTGGAAAAGTTTCAGTACAGCAAAGTTATCTCAGTCTATATTATGATTGTAAGTGATTTGCCCAGATCTTTTATGATCTGTCAATGAAATCTACAATTAAACATTCGTACTAATGATCTGCATCAAATGATAGATACCCATCATGCACTCATTACGAGTCACCGTTCAAACAAGTTAGTGACTTGCCAACATATCTAAACATCAGTATATATATATATATATATATATATATATATATATATATATATATATATATATATATATATATATATATATATATATATATATATATATATGTTTCCGGCATAACCTTCATTTTCTACTGGTTTTGTTATACTTTATGTAGCGATACATAAAAGCCACTGCTCAATTATTTTTCACAATGATAAATTTACTGATTGTAGCTAAATCATAGATGGATGAATAATTCTATTTTAAGTTGGTCATAACTGTAGAAACTATCTGAAACAAATTGTTCAAACTCTGATGAATGTTAAGAAAATTCAATCTAATCATCACATAATATTCATTTCATTTGTTTAGTGAAAATGTAAACTTAGTTATGAAAGATTGGTAAACTTGATTATATAGTTAACGTGTGGGAAATGTATTGATCGTACCAAATAAATTACAAGTTTTAGCAAACATAAATATTTTAATTAGACATCTTTTATAATTTAGTTACTAAACACCACTAACAATGTAATCAAGTACTAATTCAGTTATGTTTAAAATTCACTATGTAAAAACTGTGTTGCTAACGATTTATTGTGATAACGTTTTAGCTTTTGTTGTGTTGAAAATAGGAATATAAATTCACCTCTTATCTTACAGTTCAAATAACTCATCAAACTGTTAAAATATTTGTGTAAACATTAATAAAAATGGGAAGCATTAACTTCACAATTGATTGATCACTGGGTGGTAATCAGTCAGTTGTGAATATATCTCAGCCTGGATAGCCAAGTGGTAACATATCTGACTGTGAAGCTGGGTGACACGGGATCGAATCAATCAAGGAGCGTCAGTTCCCTCAAAGTTACTGGTACATCTTGCTGACGAGTGCCAAATAGCACGAAACCCGGGTCCAGGGTTTTCTGCTGACTACCTCCAAGTACCATCTGAAGAATTAACTTATTTGGCTAGTATTTACTGGTGTAATTTGATATAAAAACTTATTTGTAGGTCAATTTGTGTTCAATTTGAAGTTTGAATCCTATGCACGTTGCTAAGATAATGTCATTCATTCTCAAGTTTTTAATTAAGGTTGGTTGCTGGACATCAGTGGAACCAAGGCCGTACATTTTGACCACAACGGAACACCATTCAACTTTAATGAAACATAAAATTAACTATCTATTGTATATCACATTTGAATTTTCTAATTTTGGATGGTTTGTAATAAACCATGACTGTTCATGTTGCCGATATATTATTTAATCAACTACCAGATAAGCTTTTTCTTGTACAGAACAGCTTGCCTATATCTATGAACATTTAAATACTTACAAAAGGTATATAAATATTGTACTGAATAATTATTTCCTGTTCTGCCTAATCTTATCTGACAAAAGATCTCATTCATTATATCTAAAAGTATAGGGTTATTATTAATTATCTTTTATAAACGACATTTGTGACAACAGTTATCAGGTTATTATACTTATTATGATTATAGTCAAGGAAACAATTATTTTGCATCATGACAATAGAATACCATTTTTAATTATGACTTTTTCTTATAATTAACAGGATTAACCTTTTTTTTCTTTGTTTATAGCTACAATCTATTGGACTAATCATTTTATTGGTTTTATTCTTTACAATTGTTATTGGTAATTTGACTGTACTTGGTGTGATTTTTTCAAGAAAAATCAAAACACAAATGAAAATATTCATTATTAATTTAGCTATTACAGGTAAACATTTTAGTAAATATTCAGCTAACATTTAATTTAGTGTCGTTTTAAATTAAAAGGTTGATTTTCATTAGTAAATAGGACGATAGGTAAAATAGAAATAATTTTAATGATTGAATTCATGAGTTGATCTAAGTTAGACCAGTGAAGTTTAATCCGTTGTTGGGTAGAGACAGTCATCTACCTCAGACAATGGATGAATGGTTGCGCAAGATCAGTTGAAGTTAGACATTTACACCGCTGATTCCCAACTAGAGGTTAAGCGTTTGCGCATGAGACCGAAGGTCTCGTGTTCAGGATCGTGGATTCGAACTTCTGAGAAGTTCCATACTAAAACGAAATGGATGTCCAGTTCTTTCAAGTTTCCAATAATGGTCGGGCTTAAATCGACTCATGAATTCAATTATAAAAATTACATCGATCCTCATGATCCTTCATTCTGAAAATTGAATTACTATGATTAAAAATAACACATTTTATTTCGGTAATCGTATTCAAACGTTTAACAGATGAATCTTTATGTTGATCGCTATTCGGTTTGCCATCAATTATATCACTTAAATTTATTTTCTCTATGTGAAATAAAACAGACCATAGTGAATAGCTATCATTATTTTGCTTCATACCATTGAAAGCAACTCATCTTTTATTTACGCAGTAGATTTAATGCTTTGATGGTCTCCATCTAGTTCGCATTTATCTTCTCAACAGGAAGAATCAAAATTAGTTTATTAATTCAATAGTCAGTGAAATTTAACTCTCAAATGTGAATCCTCTAAAATATTTACAATTCATCTATCAACACAAGCAAATAACATTTCTAATAGATTTAATATGTTTGCTAAACCTCAATATATCACAGCTGCCTTATTTCTATCACTGTAACACTAACATTCACAACTTCTCAGCAGAGATACGAGAATCTATTCAAAAACGATTCACCGATGGAAACATATACACTGTTTTGTTGGTTTGTTTTTGAATATTATTTGAATTAAACAGTAACTTATATCGCCGATTGATATACACTTGCTCATTGTTACGTTATTCGGTGCATTTATATTTAAGCGAACCAAATATTTTTGTACGTATGTTGAACGACTTTACGAAATCGATTTCTATTCTATCATTTCAAAGTCAAATATGACAGTAATTATTTTGTTGGAGATCATAATAAGATTTAAGAAGCAAAGAAACTTGTTATACTGAAAACATCATAAGGAAAGAATAAGAAAAGAATGAATGCAATCTAGTCCTAAAAATTTTCCTTTTTACGATGGCATTTTTTAGGCTGTACAATCTTATTGGTGGGTATTATAATCAGACCACCAAAAACCCACTAAAAACAGTTAAACACTCCTAATTATTGAATATAAGAGTTTGTAAAAAATGAAGAGGTATTGTACTATTTAATAAGGTTATCAAAAACTATCAAGACATGCATATAACAGTTTGTAAACGGAAGAATGTTATTTCACTTATTAATGTATTCAAAACTATCAGCATAGGGTTGTGGAGATTGTTAGGTTTAGATTGATATCATGAATGGACCAATGCTAGACCACCACTGAGAACCTAAGAGAACTAGACGGCCATTTCGTCCTAAAATGGGATTCAATAGCAGTGCACATCCATGATTTCGAACGCGGGGCTCGGGCTCAGGATTTTTGGCCTCACGAAAGAACGCTTATCATTTGCGCACTAGTGACTAGATGAGAAACCGTGACTCACTGAAAACAATGGTGAACGATCGAGCAGTATCGTGGATTGACTGAAGCCAGTCGTAACCATCATTGGATGCTTACTCAGTGGCCTAAAGTTTAAGCGTTTGAGCGCGAGGCCTGAGGTCTCGTTTTCGGAATCTTGAGTTCACACTGCTGAGGGGTCCCATACAAGGACGAAAAGAACGTCCAATTCTTCCAGATTTTCAATGATGGTCTAACACTGATCTATTCATGATATCAGTCTAAACGTACTCAAACCTATCAAAAGTTTGTGTAATAGTTTTCAAGTTAATAAGAATCATAACGCCAAAGACGAATGTTCAATTCACAGCAAAGAAGAAAGTAAATAACAAGATAATAATTGGTACTTACAAGTTCCAAAAGTTAGGAGTGGTATGTCGATTAAAAAAAGAATGAGCTGAACATGGATCTTTTGCGCACAGTCGTCTAGCTACTGAATGGACTAAGCTTTTCTTTCTACTCAGTTATAAATTGGCTAATTGCAACTATTCACATGATGTCATATAAATCAGCCTATTGGAAGAGAACATAAACGAGATTCCATTGTAGAACCATCTATTTTTCTACAAAAATCATTTTTAAGTCTGGGATGCTTGTTAAAAAAAACGTTTGCATATTTTAAAGCTAGTAACAATAGAGCAGATGAACTTTAGAGCACTATTAAATTTAGATATCACGGTTCGGAAAAGGTTTCAAGTTGAAAATGTGACCAGGCATTTAAACTGTGTATATTGTTTATCATGAATAATCACCAATCAAATAGCAATTATAGGAAACATGTAAAATAAGCTTCTTATCAATAATCCGACATTAAATGTTTTCGTCAGAATATTGTGTCTTTGAACAATTACCAACAATACTTAAGGTAATTCGTAAACCAATGTCTTCAGCAAACAAAGTTTATAATAACCTCCATTTAATTAAAGTTTGTCTCAAGGGTAAATAACGGTCACTGTACAATCAACTTTTATTTTATTAGATATCACATGAAAACCATTAAGTCAATGTTTACGATTGCAGAAAGTTCGAAATGTTTGAAATTTTTACTTACCAGTACGATATATTGAATAGTCTGAATAAGTTGAATGGCAACTTTGAAAATCTTTGAACAGTAATTTAACTTATATTTTAGAAGCAGTTTGGCGCTTGAGTCATTTAATTTAGCCGTGATTAATGATGAAAAGAAATTCAGATACAACAATGTTTTGCGATATTTGCTGATCATATCTGGGTTCACTGAAAAATCTAACATAAGTCAGAAGCATTTGTAAAAGTTTATCAAATAATTTACTAGTTCGAATAATAGATCCTTATCTATATTCAATAGACTTGTTTTATAGATTGATTTTATAATAAAAGTATATAACCATTGTTATCGACTAGATGTCCTGAGTCGCATTTACATGGAATTGACCAAGTATACTTACTTTTGAAGAATTAACACATCTTTTAATTATAATTGGCTTATTCTTATACCTAAAACTTTGACAAAACATAGCAAACAAAAAGACCGCTAAACTTGTGTGAGGAAACTATTTTTGCAAGTGCATAATAACTTGGTTTTCAGCTGCCGTCATGATTATAAGACTGAATTTTGTGAGGAGAGTGTGAACCTTTCTAAACATAATGAATCTTATGTTCATACTATTTTTCAGTTCTGATGTAGCCTAGTAAAATCGTCTTTTAAAGGTATAAAGCATACCAGATAAAAGAAATTCAACTCTTTTGAAAACGTCATATAGGGATTTAAGCATGATTATTTTTTATCCGATCTTTATTAGCACAAATTGATTCTTCCTATTATTCTTATTTTCTATAGATCTCTTTGTAGCCCTCGGTGGAATCTTACCGGAAATAATTTGGAATATCACAATTGTATTTTATGCACCAACATTTGTTTGTAAACTAGTGAAGTATATGTCTGTAAGTGATTATATTTTATATTCACGATTTCTTCCTTTTATTGTCAGTATAGATAAGTTAATTTAAGAATTACAAAATTTCTAGATCATTGGGGAAGTAGAACCTAAACACAAATCTGTTTTATGAGAGAATAATTTATCTAAACATTGATGTTATATATAAGAACTTTCGTTTAAATTTGGACGAATAGTTTCACAATATTTAGGCGCCGAGTTAATGTGAGTCATTAAAGAGGAATAATATATATTTTCTGAGCGCCCTACAATTAGGACTTTTCAGACTTATTCAGACCTAAACAAAACTTTTAAATTATTTCCTACATCATATCAATATCAACCATTTCATGGTAAAAACATTAGCCATAACTAACAATTTTTATCCAATTCCATTTCAAGATCTTTATAATTTAACTGCTTGTTTAGTAACCCCGAAAATTCATTTTATAATGTTCAGAAAAGTCACTGTCATTTAAAAAAATTTTAAATATTGTCCATCATGAACTAAAAATTTAAGAATGGAAAACTCTCATTCTGATTCATTAGATATTTAGATTCATTTATCCAAATAAATTTAAAAGTAAGAAATCCAGAAACAACAATTCCCACACTATGACGAAATGGCCGTCCAGTGCTTCCAGGTTTCTCATGATCGTCTAGCTTTAATTGACTCATGGTCTCAACTATTAAATTGCTGATGTTTATTTTTTATTGAATTATTCTATCATGATTTATAGGGAAATTTCCGAAAGGATACAACATAGACAACACATTATGTAGTGAATGAGAACACAAGTAGGGACAATCGAATGTATTTGAATACAAAATTACAGAATATCTTAGTAAAATTTGAGAACGATACGGTAAATACTTCACTTGCAAAATGTCAGTCAATTGTCACAGACTTCATTGTTTCTGTATTTCTATGCCAATTGCTCTCTGTTACCGTTCTTTCCTCCTCGATCTTCTCGATCATCCTGACTAGCGTTATGTACTACTTTTGTCGATCTGGTAGCACACACCACAGTTATATTGTAAATATATTATCTATAAAAAACAGAATCAGTTATTTACTGTACATCATTCAAGTATAACCGCTTAAAAATATAATTTTGATTAAATAAAAAGTCACAGAAAATGTTTGTTAGATATGAAAAGAAAAAAATGGCAAATGATTTCTGTTAAGTTTGAACTATTTTAAATACTTTGTACGGAAATATATTCTCCTATATATTTCATGTGAATATTAAATCGTATTCTTTGTTAAACCTCCTTAATGCATATTATATATCAACCAAGTTATTTTATGAGAACAATGTTCTTGCATATGAAGTAGTACTGATTAGTAAACAGAATCTGGAATGGATTGTTTAGTTGTAGGACGTTATTTACATGAACCTTTGGCTCAGTAAATAATAATCACATAGACGCTCCAAGACTTAATTCGTAACACTGCATATGGCAGAAGTAAATCAGAGAGTCAAGCTCCAATTTTTAAAAGTATTGAAAAGTTTGATCCTTCCTTTATTCAAAAGCTAGAAATCTATGATTAATTGTTATGGTTAACATCACGAATATATATATATATATATATATATATATATATATATATATACCTACTTTGATTAAATCTCTTTATTGATAAGAGAAAAAATAACTCGGATACCAGTGTAATTTGGAAGTATATGTTTCATTCGTAGAAATCAGCAGATAGACGATCATAGATAGATGCATAGCTGAAAGTTACTACCGGCCAACTCAAGTAAATAAGTTTGCGTTTCATCTTATATGATTCTCATAAACAAGCAGTGTTATAGATAAATGAATATGAACAAGCATGCAAAAATGCTCATCTGTGAAAACTCAAAATCATACACGCATATAAGTTACAACATTACGAATACGAATACAAAGATCAGACATGTTCACACAACGCTTTGCACCGATTTGTCAGATCAATTGATAATGCAACTGCCAATTTGATTTAATTTTTATTGTTCCAAGTTTATAACGAACCGTTTATCTTGACTGTAAGTACTTATAAAATCCGCAATGTATGGTTAGATTAAGACTTTAGGCTAAAATCCATTTTAAGGTCAGATGTGTTAACAATAGGAAAACCAAATAAATATGATACGAAAGAGGGGAAATATTATGTTAGATTTATTGTGATAACAGTATTGAAAAATATCACGGAATGTTTAGCAAGGAAAAACACAGGGAAGCATTCATTACCTGGGGTTTTCATGCAATAAATTTATAAGACAGACCTGATAGAGTGACCCCAAATATGATCTTATATGACCAACTTTGCAAGTAAATAAATTAATATATTTGTAATATCCCAATGAGTAGAAAAATTGAATTTTCTGATGTTTCGTGACTCAGTTTAGGCCACTTCTTCAGAGAATAAATAATCAAATCAAAATTAATTTAAACTTGGATTAAATTTGATATATATTAATTTATTTATAACAATCTACCCAATTTATTCTAATTTATCAAGTCAAACCTTGGTAATGATACTTACAATTTTGAAAGTGTTTACGTTTATATGGACTTAGTATTTTCAACTGATAATAATTACTAATTCTAAAATAACCTGTCTACGTATTCGCAAATAAATTGGTTATTATAATATAATACTTGCCGATTTATAATTTGGAAACTGATGACAATGTCAATGAAAACAAATGTTTCTGTCTGACTTTTGAATATTCAATTGTTTATCTCTGAAATGTAACCGACAAATAGATTCAATATGCATGATTATTATGATTTCGAATTTACTGATATATCATTGTTTTATTGTTAATAACTTCCAGACTACCATAACATACGGAAGCTCTTTCGCATTAATAGCGTTAAGTATTGATCGTGCAGAGGCTGTATGTAGACCGCTCCGAGCTACCTCATCGAAATTTAGTAAAAGTAAGTGTTTTACATATCTGTTTTTTAAACCTAAGTAAAAGAGGGAATTGATTTACATTCATAGACAATATTTCATAAAATCTTTCAAAATAGCGAAATCCGTCATAAAAAACATTTCTCGAAACTCATTCTCGCACTGGTTTGATCGATTTGAACAAAGCTACAACGCATTTTTTAACGTTCAAAATAGTTGTTATCTTTTTAGCTGCATTCATATTTATAACCACTTGTCTTAACTGAAAGCAGTAAACAACTGAAAAGTACTGATAAAATAAATAATCTATCCGTAGATAACAACTTTTGCAAATTTGTGAATATAGACTATTTCAACAGCTCAATATCATCTTACTTTGCTTAGAAAAATGTTTAAATCAGTTGCTCCAGAAACACTGCTGAAGATAAGTAGATGACGATTGTTATATTCCTATTAAAAAATAGACGGTGATACTCATTTTGTATCATCTTACAGTCCCTTGTTCAATTCTTTATAGAGTCTTACATGCGTCTTGCTGAGGTATCTCAAACCAAAAAGGATCGTGTCTGATGTGCTATCTTGTTTCCAACTGTTGAACAGTTGAAGTTTGTTCCTAATGTAAACTATGTTTGAGGATAATTTACATTAATCTACATAATTAAACGACTACATCTTGCTGTTCATATCTCCATATTACGTTCATGATACTTACCTCACAACTTGTAAACAGATTTTTAAGCAGGCAATATTATTCTATGAGACATTATTTTCTCTGAATAGGAATATTGACCTTGTGGCTTCTGGTAAATACTTCAAAAAATAGCGTAGTTATTTAGACTGGAATAATTTGAGGGTCGCCGTTACACAATATTTAAGCATTCTGAAAAGTTTTTAAATCATAGGTAAATTTATGATTACTTCTTAAGTTACGATACTAATCTTGGTGTGATGTAGTAAAACCACATCTTAAATAGATAATGAAAACCAAAACCTTTTAGCCATCAGATAGGTAGTTTTTTCTAGGATCATTATGTTTTTCTGTATCAGCAAAATTCAAACTCTTTACCAGCTGTGTTTTTATTTCTCTATTGTTATTTTGAAGAAACACATGCCCTCATGTTAATCGGATCTGCATGGTTAGCAGCAGTGGTATGCGGTATACCTACAGCGTTACTAGCTCAAAAAGTTTATGAAGGGACACAGTATGAAAACTGTCGATTCGACTTTAGCAGGATTAGTCCACAAGTAAGCTTACACATAGGTTAAGCAGATGTCAGTGAATGCATCATAAGTTTTGTGTATGTATTAAATGAAATTTTCTTGAATGCTTTTTTAAACCTGGTTCAATATGCAAAAAACTGTTTAATAGTAAATCTGATTATCATAATGTAATCCGTTATTATTTGTAAATTCACGAAATAACTGGAATTATTTAACTCTAAAATGTTGATATGATGACTGAAAATCAAGCTTCATAGTCAAGCCTTAATTTAATTATTGTTTAGGTCACTTGAGAAACGTTCACTTCTTAAATGCTTATGTTTTAAAAGACTTCTACATTTACTGATTTTTTTGTTAAGTATTTGTATATAATGCTGTTATTTTACTAAATGTGAATTGATTTGCTGAACAGTTTATTGAATGACTTTCAGTGGTGATTTTACGGGTGTAATATTATATCATTTCACTGTGTATATCGATTAGTAGTTTTATTCATCTTTTTAACTATTAAAACGTACATCGTTGTCAGAATTCAACTGATTCTATGAAGTCAGTTATATATAAAATTATGGGATGGTGTAGAAGACTTTTACCTCAGGTGGATGATTTCGATCTCCTAATAGGAGATAAAACCAAAACAAAGAAGTAAACAATGACAAGTTTAAGGTCAACAAGAACCAATCAACATCGGGGTCTACAGGACAACCTGTGAACCACATATGAAGAAATGCGAACGCCTCACTTCTATCTGACGTTTGTGCTGATGATGTCGTTCAGAAGAACGAGGAAAGCTCCACAACCAAACTATCCAGCTCAGAGAACAAAACTCCATCAAAATATGTAAAATTAAGAATAATCATATTTAATATTATTAGTCCACATAAATCATCATTTATTGTCTGAATTATATAGGATTCATACAGAGTTTGGAGACGGTAATTACACAGGTTGTTAGAACATATGTCCGAACTGCATAAAATATTGTTGATGTGAATGTAAACATAAATTTTTATCTCCTTCTGTTTGTTTAATTTCGGGAAAAAAAGACAATTATATCATAATTCAGTTAACCCATGTGTGCAAACTAAAGATAAACGTTGTACTATATTAAGGATTTACGTAGACTATTAAGTAGTTTTCAAGATCATTTATTTATTTTAAAAATTATTAGCAGCACACCATACACTTAAAACCGGTTACAGAATACCTATAAAATAAGGAAGTTTTCAAATAAGATCTCAATGAAAATTACTTTGTATAAATTTTAATGTAATTCATTCTTCTAATGGAAGAAATTCATCTATTAAAACAGGAATAATAAGTTAAAACTGATTAAATATTGGATAACGAAGATAACCGATAAGTAATTGTTTAAAGACTAACAAACCAAGTATCAGAATGTAAAGTAAGATGTCAAACAATTGAATATTTACTTCGATACAAAAAGTAAAACAGTCATGCTTGACTGGACGTCAGAGTACACTTTGAGGTAGTTTCTGAAATTATTCATAACTAACTAATAACCTATCAGAGGAAGCTCTTGAGGTTTATAGAGTTTTCTAAATATTTACTTAAATCCGTATAGTGTCATAGATTTATAACTTGAACCCCCGAAAGTTTTCTGGTCTTTAATGGCATTAACTAGTAATAGTCTGGTCTTTTGAATAGAGATTTATAGATACATACTGTTAGTCGATTTTTATTGATCTCATAATAATGTGGTTTGTGTCACAAAATCGTGGTCATATGGTTTGTACATGTTATCCACGTTTTAGTTTAGATCACAAAAGTAAGGAGCTTACCACTAGCTTGATCATTTATTTCGTATAATTAGTAAAGTGTAAAGTTCTGAATCGAAAAACAATTCATTTCTTCGAAATAGAAATGAAATTAATATTTTACACTAAATCTTTCGGATGATAATTCCTGTTTACTTTGCAGACAAACATAGGTTCTTATACCACTTTCAAGCGGTGTCCTCAGATACACCTCTTAGTAGTCACGCATTTTGTGTATATAATATTATATAAGGCTGTCTTAAAAATATTTAGGAGAGTTATGAGATGAAAAATTAGCTAATTATGAATCCCTTGACTGCTCGTTCGGATTACTGTTACCATGTCTGTCAAAGTTGTTTACAATTAAACCGAAACTAGGTGGCTTTCAAAAAGTGCGCTTCACTGATATGATTAGTCAGTTATTGATTATGTATATCAAACAATAGTCATCTCCTGGTATTCATAAGCCACTTAAGATGATTAACAAACCTATAAAATTAAATTTTTTTCACAAACGTGATGATATCTGAATGTTAATATTTCAAAATAGATCATTCACAAGTTTTATTTTCATCCTAACAGTTTATTTCTGAACCGAATTATTTTCAAGTCATTTTTTTTCATCAAAACAATGTCGGTTGTTTTCTTTTTAATTTTAGGCCTATCTAACCTCTATAGCAATGTCAGTTTTTGTCATACCAGCATTTATTATAGCCACCTGTCATATTATCATCGTAATTAAAATTTGGAGTGCATCCAAATCTCGAAAATTCAGAATAAATGATCTACCAGATTTGCGTCAAAAGCGATCTCAGGAAAAACATCTAAGCAATCCACTTTCTGTAACTACGATTTCTATATCAAACAAGAAGCTAAGTGAATTGTCACTCGATAAAAAGAGTCTGCGAATTGGACTATCTAGACGTATTAACCGTAAACATGTACATTCCAGTTGTATATCCCGTGCTAAAGTGAAAACAGTCAAAATGACTTGTCTGATAGTCTCAAGTAAATAATTGAATTAATTTTTTTCAGATTTATATATGATTGAATGTATTTATAATCTAGTTCCTTTCTGAACTGGACAGACGTTGATTCAGTTAATATGAACAATGTGATCTTGACAGTTTCTTAATATAATGTTTTTATGTCTTAATGAAATTGTATTAACCCATATAACTCTCGCTTTAAGTATGAACCTACTTCAATGTGTATTATGCATTAAATTAGACCTTAGTGCTACTGATACCTTAGTAACAAAAATTCAGTGGAAACTGTAGAACGTCACTGTACCATTTACAGCTGAATCATTCGTCAAAAATGTGGACGTAAAACCTACTAGCAAGTGTTAATAAAAATATCATAATTTTAATGTCCCGGCGAGTAGAAAAATTAGATTTTTGAATTTTCTGTCGTTTCGTGACCCAGTGTAAGCCAATTCTTCAAAGAAAATTATCAAGACAAACCTTGGTAATGACACCTAAAAGCAAATGTGATTATTTTCATTGTTTGTAAAATGTTCCAGAACATCTGTACTAATTATTTATTTATTAAGAATCTATATATTAATAAATACGAAAATATGGGAAGCAATGAATATTAAACAGCTTTTATGGATCATAACTTATCTGGTAAAAGCTAATACATGATGTCTGTATCGCAAACTAAACATATGGTCCGTGAAATTATCTGAAGATGACAAAGTAATTACTGTAAATCTAAGTAAATTCACCAGACAAGTCAGAAGAGTCGATGTACATAAAAAAATAAGTGAACTTGTCATAATTTTTAAAATAACTTTGAGGAATATCAAACAAAGCAATAGCCAAAAGGCAAGGTCGAGATTACAAATTCCTGAAATGTATTGATATTTACTTCCTTTGTAATCACATTAACTTTGGAGACATCCAAGTTAGATTTAATCGTTAACTTGTATTACTTCATAACCATAATTTGTGATTAATGGATAGAAATGTATTTTAAAACGAAACAATAATTTTACTTATGTTTTATCACTTAGCTTATGTGATTTGTTGGTGTCCATTTATGGTATGGAACTTAATGGTTACTTATGGATATATGAGACGATATGCTCCATATTTGATGAAATATTCACCAATTATTCAAGTTAGTTTTAAAAATACATCTTCCTGTATAGCATAATAAATAGTCTTATTTCACTTTCTTGGATTTGAAAAACATTGTCTCAAAAATGATTTCATTATCTGTGAATATGACTATTTATACATTTCGCACTTCTGTAGTTAAGTTTATCTTTTAGAAAATGTAGTTGCACGTCTTTGGTTTAGATAATTAAGTGCCGTCTTGTCACGGTCGAACTGTGAATACGTGACTACTTTTATGGTACAACTTGAAGAATAAAATCACTTAACCAATTTATAAATGTTTACAGGAACAATTCCAAACATTTAACTACTTAAAACTGGGACTAACTATTCAATTTCTCCTTACTTATTAGTTAATTAATTAACTGATGTAAAGTACTACTTATATGCATTCAGTTTTTCTTACATCTTAATTTCAAGAGAGTATTAGCATTAAAGATCATAGATAAAATGAATCACGAGGTATTGAGTTTACATATAACAACTGTAAAATATCATCTTGCATGCTCTCGCTTGTTAGATATGATAAAATACCGTAGGTGAAGATTTGTGTAATTCATGAATATTGAATTTATATAACTATTTCTATTATAGGAATTTGACAAATGAATTAACATGCATGTTTCATTTTTTACAAATTAATACACTACTCACTGTCGTCCACTTTTATTTAGACATTTGATCGTATTTTCTCTATAACTTTATACTACTCATTTTAACTTGTTAAGCATTTGGTACCACTGAATTCAACAGTAAACCCTGCGATATTTTGGATATTCAATGCAGAAAACTTTATTCGGAGACGAAGAAGAACAACTGGAATAGTGTAAGAAAATTTTTAATAAACTGTTGCTCATAAGACAATTCAACTTATTGTTTAAATAATAATATATCGCAATGTCCACCCAATACCGATTAATTAATATCATACTTTATAATAGCAAGCACGGAGAAACCTAATTAAAAAGATAATGTTGAAGTTCTTAACTTTTCATTGTATTTTTTTTCAAGTGTGACAGATGCAACGAAATTTTGAACTAACCTACGGTAATTCGTGTTAGTCTCCTAATTCCTACAATATGTACCAAAAATATAGGTCAAAAAGTTGTTTCAAACGGTAAGTCATTTATTTTATGTTTTTCTTCTACTACAAAATTCTTTAGAGACTGATTAAAATCATAGGAGCTAGAAAACTATCCATTTCCTAGGTTTATATATATATATATATATATATATATATATATATATATATATATGATTTTGCTCTGATCCAGTATCCTGTATTCACTGTAACATTAAGCTATCTATGCATAAATGCTAGTATATTCTCCCAAATTAGTGTCACCGTATACATTTGTTTGAAAACTTTAAATATTTTCGTAAATAATGAGATCTAAGGGAGAATTCATATTTATTGTTTTCAAGTACTTTGCTTATTGTAACTTATGCTTAGGTTTCATAACTAAATGTCTGCGTATAGCTGATGAAGGAAAACAGTGCCTACTGAACATAAATATCATACTGGAAAAAGATATACTAGTCCGAAATTCTTAAATATCTTATTTCATTTGTCTCAATGTCATAACGGGACGTTGATTAAACTATTACGGAAAATATGAAATTTTCCAAAAAAGTAGACTGGTCTCATCTTTCATCAAGTTAACAATTGTACATACGATGAATGTTGGGAACTCGAACATGTCAGTGATTTTCATACATTGTCATATTCAAATAATTAACCCATCTTGATGTGATTTTAGCTTCCACTGAAGATATCTGGTACTTTGAATATGATTTGTTGTCTGCTGATGACAGGTGACAGCTTTTTATTAAATTTTTATAATAGATAAGAACCATCAAAACTTTTAATGCTAATCAATTATTCGATGGATAAACAAATAGAAACATTAAAAAAACAAGTATATTTGTAATATTTCATTGAGTAGAAAATTCAATTTCCTGCGTTTAATAGCTTAGTATCTCAGAGGATATGTTTATCTAATTATAGATTTCGATGAATGACAGGAATTTATATTCCAGTCTTAAATACATAAGTGGTGTAAAGCTTAGGTTTCCATTCTTATAATGACAGCTAATGTCGAGGAGAATGGCTAGCATCTGAGTGTTTTCTTGCGTTGTAGAATTCAATAATCTGTCCGACATTGTAGGAATTGATTGTTAAGTATGGAGTAATTTTTTGTCTGTTAGGAATATTATGGTTTAACACGTATCCACTCACCTTGAAAGTTACAATATGAACCATGAACAAATTAGTTATGATGTTGGGATCATAGTGATTAAATAAGGAAAAGGCTGATTTAGTCACTTTCCAAACTTAAGTGAAGCATAAATTACATAACTGTTGATTGTATGAAGGACTTTTACTTTTTTAGAGTTTTAATGAAACAATACTATGTGATTGATTCTTTGTTTCCTACACAGATAAGGTTTCCTTACCTACTCTCATCAATCGGGAGTAAAACTCGTGTTTATTTATCGGTTGCAAACTCCATTTCACAAACTCAGTCAACGATTTTATTACATTTCTATCTCGTAATGAATTTAATTAATTTTAAGCCCGTTCAGAATTTGCGGTATGTTAATACTGACCTTTTACTCAAACATATGAACGTGACATGTTCACTAAAATTGTACAAACAACAAAGGTAAAATAAAACATATTTACATATGGATATAGAAATAATGCTAACAACCTTCCTGTATTCTGTAACATAAAGAGAAATAATAAAATTATCAAGATATTACTTTAAATAACTATAGAAACTAATCTTTCATACTGAAAGCTTGAAATTAAAATTTTCTTTCATTTGTTCTATTTAAAATCATAGTCAAAATGAATTTCCAAGTCGTAAGTACTTACCGAAGATTCATTATTTACTCTGACGTATCATAAAAGATACAGTAAATAAACATTATTGTGTCAGTCAACAAAAGAATTTGTCTTAAACTTATTTGTTCATTATGAATAGTAATCCATTTTGTATTGCCTCATCGAACATTCCATAAGTTTTCATCGGATATAAAATTGCTCACAATATATTTAGGTATTTTTTAACACTTACATGGCAGGCATAGTAACAATTATTGATTGCAGTACAATCGTTTTCTTTCTTAATGCTTTTAATAATTCTGTAATACAAACCAATCAATAACAGTTTATTAAATAACATATGATTTATTTATTTTTGTTTTTTATTAGTTCACGTTCGAATCAAACGTTCATAACGGGAAAATATCTTGCAGTGAAATGTTAACAAGGCATATCTCTTTATGATTTAAGAAAAATCAAATTATTTTGCTTTCTTTTTTAGATTTAATGAAATTGTATTTATTTGTAAATTGTCTGAAGTTAGAGGTTTGTTGTTAGTTGTATAGACAAACGTTTTTTTTATTAAAACAAAATATCGAACATTTCCACTTTTGAAAATAATAATGAGTTAGCCATGATGCAAGCTGATATTGTGAATAAATATAGCAGTAATAAAAAGTTACTGTTTTATCGGTTGAATAAATTGAAGCGCGTTTTTATCAGATTGTACTAAGATAAAACTACCAATTTTAATTGTCATATGAACAAACTAGTTACACAGATTAAACATTCGAATGTCTCATACTCTTGCTTCTAGGAGTTTAGTACAGATCTACAGTACGTGCGTAACAAGGTACGATTGAGCTACTCCCATATGATCTATACTATTGGTTAAATCAATAATTGCAACTGGTATACAACACTGTAACACTTGGCCACTAACACAGAACTAAGACGAATTGTAAGAAAACATGTTATTGATAGTAGCGTACTGAAGACAAAATCAAATGACACAACTCTATTGGTAACGTAACGAAAACATAACCTTCAAGCGCTCAGAAATTTAGTAAACTAAAAGCAGTACCAAACAAGTATCAAAAAGTTAAGTTCATTTGCGATATTAGGAAAACAGTACTTAAGATTAACATTTCTGCTAAGATTTTAGCACTGTAAGCAAATTTTGTGTAACCTAATTGCTTTCGCAGAATCGCAGGATAATCTACCCAATGAAGTTTAACGATTAATAAAAAAACTGTCACAGTTAATCAGATCAAAACTTGAACTTTCGTGTTGCGTGATAAAAGTCTTATAAACGAAGATTATTGAATGATGGTAAGATTTGGGTTTTCAACAATAAAATACACTTGACGATATTACGCTATTAGTGTTAATTACCGGATTTCCTATACATTAATTTAAAGAACAACTCAAGCAAATTATAAAATAATGCATGCACTGCAAGTGTAAAATTTTTTATATTTAAGTAAAATAAACTCAGTAATTATAAGAAAACAATGTTTTCAAAAGCCATTTTTATTGTAATTAATTCTGTCATAAAATTCTAACTAATTTTTGATAATATTCGGAAAACAACACTATAAGGTGGTATTCTTTTATTTCACACGTTTCGTCTTGATTAAACTGAAAGATACCTGTTTATTCATCCTTTAGTATCCTTATCAAATATCTAAGTGAAAAACTTATCTTTGGGGACAGAAGTCTATGACATAAATGAAAAAATTTCACAAATATAATTCACACAAATGTTTAACTCGAAAATTTAATCAAACAAACTTAGGATAAAGTCCAATCACTGACCAGGAACTTTAATGTTTTCAATCTACTCTTCTCGATAGCTTCAACCAATATATGAGCACAAAGTAACAGGTAAGGGTTTTCTAACAAAAAAAAACAAAAATCAACTTGAATTTACTAACAAAACACATCCAGACAAAGATTAAGGTTTAGTGCTGTTAGACTGTAAGATCTATGTCAACAAAATGTAAAACTTGTCAGACAACACCAAATTCTTCAAATAAATCAATGAAAGGATCAAAAAGCAACTGAATGTGGTACTTAAGAGAGTGAAAAGTGATCATGTAACTAAAGAAGATATTTACGAACGTATAAAACGAACAAGGTCACTAGTATCTACGGCTATATGGTTTGCCTAAAATACACAAACTTGGCCAATTCTTGATATGTTCGGATCACATTATCATTCTTTAGCAAAGTGGCTGGCAGATCTCTTTGAACCGGTACGAAAAAGTATTTGTATAGATCCCTTACATGATACTCTCGAAATCATTAATTACATAAAAGGCGTGAATAAAAACTACAAACATATCATTTCATTTGATGTTGAATCACTATTCCCTGATTTTCCTATCACAGAGACTATCAATTTTGTTTGAAAATACATAAATGATAATCAGATTAATATATGACTACTGGAATCTTACTAGAACGAATTATTATAACGGTGCACTTGTGGTGTACAATATATATTCGATGACGTTTAAAACAAACAGATTATTCGCTCTCTTGATGTCGAAGTAATGTGGAAATACGACGAAACTCTTAGGAAATCTTTTTATATGAAACCCTTGTCAAGTTTTCACAGCTGAGTCCCCATTAGACGGAAGCAAAACTTTTTTATATTTCTCGTTATATGTATATGAATAATTTGTAGCTCCAATGTCAAACCTAATAAACTGAGCCTCCTTAAGAAAATACTTACCGAAACGGGTATCCATTGCGTTTTGCTGATAAGGGTATAAAACTCAAACTGCTCAATGCAAAACTAACTACTGTATAAAAGAAAACCTTATATGAAGATCGATTTAGAAGGTGGAATAGCTACAGAC